CCTGATGAGAAAAGCCCCATGCAGCACCAGTTCCAGCCCCACTCTGCACCCATGCAGATACGGGGGCAAACGTCCCCCGCTCCCCGCCCCGGGGTGCAAGCAGTAGCAGGAGCTGCCCTCACCCCATGAGCCACACCTCAATCCCGTTCTCCCCTCACCTGCCCCCACCCCCCGGCTGGGCAGTGCCTGCCCCTACCACCACAAGCGGTACTGATCTTCCCCCCTCACCTTCTGACTTACCAGCTGGAGGCAGCTCTACACGCTGCCGGCTCTGCTCCATGCTGCGCCGCGGCTGAGCACAGCACAAGCATTTATCGGACAAATTATCAGCCCCATTGGGATGATAGCTGATTTTATATATATAAAAATCAGTACTGGTCCAATATCGGAATAATATATCAATAAACCTTAAAAAAAAAAAAAATCAGCCTATGAAAACTTTCTGTATCTGAATCTATACAATGTAACAAGATTACAGTGACCAGACACAAAAGAATAAGCTATCATTATTCTGAAATAAAATACATTATTAGTGACCTTTCCATGAGCATCTTTCAGAACATTACTCCTTCAAATTCATTTTGAAGGCAACCAATTGAAATACAAAAGAGTATTTTTGCTTTTATCTTAAGACACTCCACCAGAAGGGTGTGTTATAATGTAAATCTCCCATCTATGGACAGGTTATAAGTTAAATATTTGCAAGACAATTTAGGGAAAGCTTAAAACTGAATGAATGTGTCTAAATTTTATGTTTTTCTTTTAAGTCTCTGGATGTCTCTCACACAGAGCAAAACATCATATAAAGCATAAAAAGACACTTTCACTTATATACACTTACTGCAATCTCTCTACAAGCCGACATGGATATCCCTGTACCTTCAATTTGCTTCAGTGCATACTCCTTTTCATCTTTTCTGTGCACAAAAAACAAAAAGAAAAATGTTACAGATCTCATCTGATTTCAGTGATTAAGCCAATAAATGCAAGTAGAATAAAAAGTCATCATAAACTAATGCAAGAAATTGAAAAGCCAACTTAAGCCAATTACCGCATGATAGGGGGAGGGGGCAAGGGAAATCCAAAGCATCTTTATTATCCAGCCACAATCATCAAAACTAAAAATTCAAATCATAAGTTGTTAATCATGCCCTATTTCTCTCTTGAAGGTAACCACCCCCTGCAAGAAGCTCCACAAACGTTCTTCCCTGAATCTAAGATAGCATCTAGCACCAAAAAACCACAAACACATGCCACACTTGCAAATTTCTGTAAGAAAGACCAAAGAACAATACAAAGGGCTCATAAAACTAAATTTAAAAAAAATGTAATGACCTACTTTAACCTTACAGCCCCTTAAATTTGTATTTCTTTTCAAAGTTGTTTACCAGATCCAGTAGATTCTCTGCTGGGCTCTCATCAACTGCACATGCTCTTCAGGATTTAGTAAACCCTTAAGCAGAAAAATCTCAGAAATGCATGATGTTCTCATTAGGCCTGTCTGAACTAGCTATTATTTGCTTCAGATTTGACCAATTCAGGGGACAGTGATTCAATTAGGTGATTCAAACTATTGTCCTGAAACAATCTGACCAAATCCGATTCAGAGATCTGGCCACCGCTCAATCTCTTAATTGAACAGGCCCCATCCCCCACCTGCTCTCCCAACCCCGTCAATGGCTGCCCCGCCTGGCCCCCACATCCCAGCACTTCAAAAAAAAAAAGCCCCACACTCACCAGTTCCTGCCAGGCAGGGGGGCAATCCCCGCTGCCCTGCACTGCATGGGGAGGCTCTGCCATGAGCCCCCAGAGGCCCCAACGGCCACTGTAGCAGCTGGTGACTGGGGGGCTTCCCCCCCCCCCCAGCACTGGGATGCTGGGGCCAGGCAGGGCAGCCATTGGTGAGGCTGGGAGAGCGGGCAGGGGTCCCCGCATGGTGCCCTCCCCCCTGCTCTAGCCTCTCTCCCCCCCTTACTGGCACTGAGTCTGGGTCCAGTTCCCTGCAGCAGCGAGCAGGGATGCCCAAATCTCCGAATCTTTTCTGAATCGATTTAGAGAGCTTTGAATCAATTCACACCTTTTTATTGGTCTCCCGATTCAATTTGGATCCAGAGACTCAGCTGCTGAATCGGGCCGGATCTCCTTCAAATTGAATGAGCAATCAAAGCATCGTATAGCCCTAGTTCATATTGCATAAGAGACTGTGCATTTCAGTCACCAGAGAATGCAGTAAATTGTAGAAGGGCTCAGAAGATCAAAAGGTAACGATAAAGCAAGTCTTGCAAAATCCCATTCATCCTTCAACATAACCAATTTACTGTGTATAGTTAACACTGTCTTTAGCTTCCAGTATGTCTGTCATTCACACACCTGTTCTTTGGATTGAGAATTCATTTAGCAGGGAAACTGTCAGCTTATTCCAACTATAAAAGGAGAATTTGAATTTTCAGCACATTTTGCAGAAAATTCAATCTGCTTTTGACCCATAAATAATGCAACAGTTACACTGATTAGAAAATTAGTTTTGCCTATCTCTGATCTCACCTCAAAAGTCACTTCAAACAAGCCATAAATTCAATCCCTAGAAACCGGTGTACTATGTTTGTAAATCCGCTAACTGCACAAAAGTGGATTATTGGGGTTGTAGATAAATTGGGTGCACTCCTCCATTTCTTTTCAACAACTGCCCCCCCACCCCGTATCTTTAGCAAGAGCAAGAACACATGCCATGTTTTTCCCTGTTGGCAGCTTAGAAACTGGTTTCAACTACAGAAGAGCCTTTATTAACTAACAGATTCCTTTAGCTCAAGTCTGCCAGATTCTAAGATCCCAAGGGGCTAGACCCATGGGGTCTCAACACCATGCAGTCTGCACAAGACAAACCATGGGTCACTGACCTACATGAATGCTCCACCCTGTGCAGGACCTCTAACACCACTGTACCAAGTGCCCCTTCCACCCCACAGCTGCAATGCATGGGCGCCATTCCAGACTACACAAGTCGAGAACCTGATGGTGTTTAACACCAAAAAATGCAAGGCTCTCCACCTTGGGAGGAAAAACCTGCAACATGTCTATAGGCTCGGCAGTGCTATGCTGAAGAGCACTACAGAAGAGAGGGACCTGGGGGTCAGGATTGACCACAAGATGAACATGAGCCTTCAATGTGATGCCGCAGCTAGTAAAGCGAGCAAAACCCTGGCTTGCATCCATAGATGCTTCTCAAGCAAATCCCAGGATGTCATTCTCCCGTTTTCTGCCTTGATGAGGCTGCAGCTGGAGTACTGTGTCCGGTTTTGGGCTCCACAATTCAAAAAGGATGTGGAGAAGCTTGACAGAGTCCAGAGGAGAGCCATGCGCATGATCAGAGTTCAGGAAAAAAGACCTTATGAGAGGCTGAGAGCTATGGGACTCTTCAGGCTGGAAAAGCACAGGTTCAGGGGTGATCTGATGGCCACCTATAAGTCTATCAGCAGTGTTCACCAGGATCTGGGGGAATGTGTTCACCAGAGCACCCCAAGGGATGACAAGGTCAAACAGTTGTAAACTCCTGCAAAACTATTTCAGGCTGGACATAAGGAAGCCTGACCTCTATCCTGGGGAAGGTCTTGGAAAAGATTATCAAAGAGGCCATCCTTAACAGACTAGCTGAAGGCAATATCCTAATGGATACCCAACACAGGTTTGTTGCAGGGAGGTCTTGCTTGACCAATCTCATTTCCTTTTATGACCAGGTGACCTATCACCTCGACAAGGGGGAAAAGATTGACTTTGTACATCTTGACTTTAAAAAAGCCTTCGATCTGGTATCCCATGATCACCTCTTGGCTAAACTGGCTAACCGTGGCCTTGACCTCACCACAATCCACTGGCTGGGGAATTTGCTCTGCAATAGGACCCAGTGGGTGGTGGTCGATGGGAGCCAATCGTCTCGGTGCACTGTGACCAGTGGGGTCCCTCAAGGCTCTGTCCT